CCCTTCCGCCTGAGCAAGAAGCCGGGAGAAGTGAAAGAGAAAGCCCCCAAGAAGCGGGCAGCCGTGGCCAAGCCCAAGAAGCCGGCGGCCAAGAAGCCCGCCAGCGCTGCCAAGAAGCCCAAGAAAGCGGTGACAGCGAAGAAGAGCCCCAAGAAGGCGAAGAAGCCGACGGCTGCCGCGGCCAAGAAAGCAGCGAAGAGTCCCAAGAAGGCGACCAAGGCTGCCAAGCCCAAAAAGGTGGCGGCAGCCGCCAAGAGCCCGGCCAAGGCGAAGGCGGTGAAGCCCAAAGCGGCGAAGCCGAAGGCAGCCAAGCCCAAAGCGGCCAAGGCGAAGAAGGCGGCGCCCAAGAAGAAGTAAACCCCCGTGGAAGAAAACTCTTGCTCCGCATTTAAACCCAACGGCTCTTTTAAGAGCCACCCACCTTTTCTCAAAAAGGGCTGAAATAAGGGGGGTCGTGTTTGGAGTTTTTTGTTTTATGTGTTGTGGTGCTTAAATGGTGGAAACGGCTTATTGTCTTTTCAGGTACGGAAAATAGAGCTTCCATGTGGGGGATCATAAAAGGGGCCGCTGTGACTGGGAGGAACTTCCACCGCTTGAGGAGCAGCTCGATGGTGCAATATGGGGTAGTTGATACACTCCTTTGAGGATGGGCATTGCTTTGAGGCGGCTCAAGTACTTCCGGACTTGAATTTTATTCCTTTGTTTTTTAAAGACAGCTTTATAGCCAGTACTTGCCGCTTTTCTTTCCCCATCAGTGGGTGTGACTAAGTGAGACGAGAAGGGCAGGGGCGGGGGGAACGGTTTTCGATGTCATCCAGTTTACCGCAGCGGTAAGACGGGATGTGGCAGATTTATTTTGAACTACAGGATCCAAATCATGAAACGATTCAGCTATCGAGACGACGTCCTCGAATAAGTTAACCTCAGCTGAATACACGAGACATGATCCTAGAAATACTTCAACATGCCTTTTAAAAAGAAAATAATGTAAAATATCAGGCAAGAGTATGATTCGTGTTGCCTACACATTTTAAGCACGCTTAAAGCAATTCAGCTCTTCAGTGATCTAGTGGGTGGCTCTGAAAAGAGCCTTTGGGTTTCTCTGGGAAGGACTCCCCGGGCGCTGTGCTTCGGCGTTCACTTGGCTTTCGCCTTGTGGCTGTCGGTCTTCTTGGGCAGCAGCACGGCCTGGATGTTGGGCAGCACCCCGCCCTGCGCGATCGTCACCTTGCCCAGCAGCTTGTTGAGCTCCTCGTCGTTGCGGATGGCCAGCTGCAGGTGGCGGGGGATGATGCGCGTCTTCTTGTTGTCGCGGGCCGCGTTGCCCGCCAGCTCCAGGATCTCGGCCGTCAGGTACTCCAGCACGGCCGCCAGGTACACCGGGGCGCCCGCGCCCACCC